ATTCAGAATACAGTTTCATCTGAATGCATGAGGATACAGAGGGTTGAGAATTTTTGCAATAACTTCCCACTGGTTTTTGAGTATTTTGATTCCTGATGTCAGATTTGTGTCCATTAATTCTTTTGCGTAGAGACTGTCCGGTTTGGCCAATGTACATGGCAGAGGGGCACTGCTGGCACATGATGGCATATATCACATTGGTAGATGTGCAGGTGAACGTATTATCATGACACGCACACGCTTCCCGGAACAGGAGACTGCACAACCTCGGCTGCAGGAGGGAAGCACTGGGGAGACCGGACCAGATTTACTGGGGACGAAGCCGCAGGGCGATGGCACAGCCGGCCCCTGGCTCGGAGCACCGCACTGTGGAGCCGGGCGCTGCTCACACATCCCAGACTGGGTGGGGACTCGGCAGGGGGCGCCCCGAGCCCCCGGGCTGGGTCAGCCCATGAGGGGCGAGCTCTGTGGGTAACACCTTGCCCGCTGTGGGAATGGGGCTAGCTCCCCTATCGCAGTGGTCTCCGAAGTGGGGTGCGCGGCAGGAGGAGCGCTTTTTTTTGTAATTATTATTTGCTTTGTCAGGCGGGAGTCCGAGCAGCTTTTTTTTTGCTTCAGCAGTTCGGGCAGGGGGTGCGTGCTCAAAACATTTTTACTGATGGGGTGTGCGAACAAAAAAGTTTGGAGCCCACTGCTCTATCGCCCTGGGTCCCGCTCGCGCCCAGGCCCAGCCCCCACGAGGCGTCGGCGACTCCCTACCAACGGGGCGGTGGTTGGGGGAGGCCGAGGAGGCGACTGATGTACGCATGAGCACTGTGTGTGGGGGGGAGGAGGGGGTGGCTTCGACACGCGCCTGCGCTAAGATTCATCGCGAGACCAGATCGCTTACGACATGACGTCAGACGTTAATGTATCGGTTCCCTGGCAACGAGTTGATGCTATGGGCCCGAGGCGGCTGCTACTCCCGCTCCTGCTATTGCTGCAGCCGCGGTGGGGGGCTGGGACCCCCAGCCCGACCGCGGGGGGCAGCCCCGACCCCCCCAGCCCGACCGCGGGGCTCAGCCCCAGCAGCCTCGCGCCCCCCAGCCCGACCGCGGGGGGCAGCCCCGACCCCCCCAGCCCGACCGCGGGGATCAGCCCCAGCAGCCTCGCGCCCCCCAGCCCGACCGCGGGGCTCGGCTCCGGCAGCCCCGCGCCCCCCAGCCCGACCGCGGGGCTCGGCTCCGGCCCTGCCACCGACCCTGTTAGTCATGGCACGACTCCGGGGGGAAGTTCAGGCCCCGGACCCCCCAGCCCAGAGGGAGGCAGCTCCGCGGAGCCGGAGCCCAGCGCGGCTCCAGGAGTCCAGGGAGACCTATCCGCTCCCGAAGGTGAGGAGGCGCCCATAGTCCCTTCTCGCTCATTCCCTGCAGGGCATTGCCCAGGCCCAGGGTGCGCTCCCCCCCGGCCCAGCCTGTTTCCTCCCTGCCCCATGCCCTGCTCAGGGTTCCCTCTCACCCTGACCTGGGCTGTCTCCTGACCATTTCCCTGCAGTACAGTGCCTGGGGTCCCCTCTCTGCTGACACAGCCTCTCTTCTCCTCCCCGTCCCCTGCAGTGTAGTGCTTGGGTTCCCCTCTCCATCTGGCTTGTCACTCCCCCTCATCCCCTTCAGGATGATACCCAGGGTCCTTTCCCATATCAGCCTGTCTCTCTCGAATCTCCCACTGGCTGGTCTCCCTCACCTACCCCTTACAGGGCGGTCCCGAGGGTCCCCTCTCCCCCAAACCAGCTTCCCCCCCACATCACCTAGAGGACAGTGTCTGGGGTCACCTTTCCTCCGATCTGGTGTCTCTTTCTCTCTTCTTAGCTTGTTTGCCCACCTGTATCTGCAACCTGCATTCTGGATCCTGTGACATAAACTGCTGCTGTGATCCTGACTGTAACCTTGGCTGTGATCTGGGGGACTCCAGGGCTGCCTTCTCCTTCTGTCTTCCAGGCAGCACCAGGTAAGGTGTGAGGGATCAGCTTCCTGATGCTCTTCAATGCTGCATACAGATACCCTTGCAAAGCAGTGGTGAAAGGCCCAGGGCAGAGCTGATGCCAGACTGCTGTAATGTATTTTTGCCCCTTTTCAACCCAAGCGGCTAGTCAAACTCTGGGACCCAGGAGTAGAAATTGGTGATAGGCAGGTATATCTTTGATGCAGTTTTGTTTATTACAAATGTATCCCACACACCTCCTGGGTGTGGTGTTCTGTCCCATCTAGTGGCACCGAGACCACTTATCAACAGCTTTAGCTAAGGGCCATGGGGCTTTTAGCTCATGCAGTAGAGGCTCGTGCATTTAGCATCCCAGGTTCGATCCCACCCGCTGACGAACAGGGTCTGTCGGTGTTACACAAAGAATGTACAAAGTTCTGTGTCTCTGAATGCAGAGAGAATCAAATAGCAGGAAATGGCTTTTTTTCCCTACAGCACTAAGAGCATTCTTTTCTAGGTTTCCTACTGGGTCAGCCACCATGCTTTCAGCTGCTCCTTGAGGCTGTGTCGCTCTCTCAGGCTTTGTCTACACTAGCACCTTTGTCGGCAAAACTTTTGTTGGTCAGGTGTGTGAAAAAAAACACACCCCGACCGATATAAGTTTCACTGACAAAAGTGCCGGTGTTGACTGCGCTATGTCAGTGGGAGAGCCTCTTCTGCTGACATAGCTACCACTGCTCGTTGGGGGGTGGTTTAATTATGCTGGCTGGAGAGCTCTCTCCCACCGGCATAGAGCGGCTACACAAAAGACCTTACAGTGGCACAACTGCAGTGGTACAGCTGTGCTACTGTAAGGTCAGTAGTGTAGACATAGCCTCAGTCGGTTCTGGTATGGTCTCAGTTTCTGTGTATTCTCTCCTCCTTCCCCCCCCCCCCCCCCCAAAAAAAACGACAATACTCAGCCAAAAGCTCTTGGGCAGGTTCACATATACCTTTTGTCTTGGGTGGGGTTTATGCTTACAGTTATGTTAATTGAAAGGTGAGTTCACACCTACCAATCTCAATGGGGTTTTTTAACTCCACTCATAACAAGCCTTCCCCTTCTAACACCCAGGCAACAGTAGCTGAGGTGTGAGGGACTGGTTGCCTGATGCCCTTCCATGTTGCATGCAGACATCTTGGCTAAGCAATGGCTAAGGGACCATGATAATACTGATGCCTGACTGAAGTAAATAACATACATATGTGCAAGGAGATTGTGGTAACACTTTGAATCATAAAATCATAGAAGATTAGGGTTGGAAGAGGCCTCAGGAGGTCATCAAGTCCAACCCCCTGCTCAAAGCAGGACCAACACCAATTAAATCATCCCAGCCAGGGCTTTGTCAAGCTGGGCCTTAAAAACCTCTAAGGATGGAGATTCCACCACCTCCCTAGGTAACCTATTCCAGTGCTTCACCCCCCTCCTAGTGAGTTTTTCCTAATATCCAACCTAGACCTCCCCCACTGCAACTTGAGACAATTGTTCCTTGAACTCTCATCTGCCACCACTGAGAACAGCCAAACTCCATCCTCTTTGGAACCCCCCTTCAGGTAGTTGAAGGCTGCTATCAAATCCCCCCCCCCCCCATTCTTCTCTTCTGAAGACTAAATAAGCCCAGTTCCCTGAGCCTTTCCTCGTAAGTCATGTGCCCCAGCCTCCTGATAATTTTTGTTGCCCTCTGCTGGACTCTCTCCAATTTATCCACATCTTTTCTGTAGTGGGGGACCCAAAACTGGCCGCAGTACTCCAGATGTGGCCTTGCCAGTGCTGAATAGAGGGAATAATCACTTCCCTTGATCTGCTGGCAATGCTCCTACTTATACAGCCCAAAATGCTGTTAGCCTTCTTGGCAACAAGGCACACTGTTGACTCATATCCAGCTTCTCATCCACTGTAATCCCCAGGTCCTTTTTGCAGAACTGCCGCTTAGCCAGTCAGTCCCCAGCCTGTAGCAATGCATGGGATTCATCTGTCTTAAGTGCAGGACTCTGCACTTGTCCTTGTTGAACCTCATCAGATTGCTTTTGGCCCAATCCTCCAATTTGTCTAGGTCACACTGGACCCTCTCCCTACCCTCCAGTGTATCTACCTCTCCCCCAAGCTTAGTGTCATCCACGAACTTGCTGAGGGTGCAATTCACCCCATCATCCAGATCATTAATGAAGATGTTGAACAAAACAGGCCCCAGGACCAACCCCTGGGGCACGCCTCTTGATACTGGCTGCCAATTAGACATTGAGCCATTGATCACTATCCGTTGAACCCGACGATCTAGCCAGCTTTCTATCCACCTTATAGTCCATTAATCCGATCCATATTTTTTTTAACTTGCTGGCAAGAATACTGTGGGAGACTGTGTCAAAATCTTTGCTAAAATCAAGGTATATCATGTCCACTGCTTTCCCCATCATAGAAGGCAATCAGTTTTGTCAGGCATGACTTGCCCATGGTGAATCCATGTTGACTGTTCCTGATCACCTTCCTCCTCCAAATGCTTCAAAGTGGATTCCTTGAGGACCTGCTCCATGATTTTTCTGGGGACTGAGGTGAGGCTGTCCAGTCTGTAGTTCCCCGGATTCTCCTTCTTCCTTTTTTAAAGATGGGCACTATATTTGCCTTTTTCCAAACATCTGGGACTTCCCCCGATCGCCACAAGTTTTCAAAGATAATGGCCAATGGCTCTGCAATCACATCAGCCATCTCCCTCAGCATCCTCGGATGCATTGCATCTGGCCCCATGGACTTGTGCATATCCAGCTTTTTCTTTGCTTTCTCGCTGTCTGAACACTTCCAATAGAAACTAAAATCCAGACACAGTTATATTAATATCACTTGGTGTTTGTGTGATCTTTCTCCTGATGTTCAAATGCCTGAGGTCAGTTAAATGATTATGAGGGAGGAGCTGGGGATGTTTGGCCAGGGCTCATACATTGTCATGACAGTTTTGCAAGGCTGGACGTGATGACTTTATAATTAAATTATTAGGGATGGCAACTGAGAGGCAGGGGATAGGGAGACAGATTGGAGAGAAGGGGGAGGAGGTTGGGCTGGGCTGTTCTAGAAAGGGGGAGATTTGGGAGAAGGCTCATACTCCTGTGATTATGAGATTGTGGAAAGGACAGAGGAGATCCATGCTGGCCCTATATTGCATTGGGAAGAATCCTAAAGTGCCTTGCAAATATACAGATCACTTCTCACCCACAGCTCCTTCTAGGGTGAGACACAATAGCTGTTTAATAATGCAAAACAGCTTGTGTTAGGAAATTAAGAAGAATTCGGTATCCAGTTGGTTGGGGGGGTGGAGGGACATGGAATGTAAATGTATCCTTAGCGTTAGCTCTCTCTCTCTCTCCTGTTTTTTGTGCAGAACTGTGAGTCAAGTGTGCGTGGAGAAGTCTCTTATTTTCAGAAATAACACCCCTCATCACACTGAAATCGTCACTGACCCCCGCGGATATGAGTCTATGTTCTGTGTGCGTCTGAGTGATTGTAAGTAGTCTTACCCTCTGCACACTGAATTCCCAAGTTCTCCCTGATCAGGGAATTGGTTCTGTAACATCTTGTGAATATGAGGGGTGAACAGTCAGCTGTTCCACAGCACTTGCCAGCATCACTACAGGCCTACGGTGGGAGAAGGAGTTATGCGTCTTTGAGCTGAAGCTGGCCAAGAAATCTACAAGATTGCCACAAGGTATTATTGAGGCCAAGAGCTCAGTGTGATTTAAAAAGTTAAGACATTTATGAGAATAATTATAACATTCACAAGGATAGTAAAGAAAATAAGAATGCTATAAGGAGTATAAACCCTCTGGCTTCATGGCATAAATCTTGAGTTAGAAAGCAGCTTCCCCAGGGGCATGTTACTCCATAATGGGCCATTATGTGTTTTCTTGCATCTTCCTCTGAAGCATTTGGCAGTGACCATTGTCAGAGACAGAGACCAGACTAGGGCTATGGCTACACTGGCGCTTTACAGCACTGCAACTTTCTCGCTCGAGGGTGTGAAAAAACACCCCCGAGCGCAGCAAGTTACAGCGCTGTAAAGCACCAGTGTAAACAGTGCCCCAGCGCTGGGAGCCGTGATCGGCCTAGATGAACCAATAGTCTGATCTAATCTGAAAATTTCTGTATCATGTTACTGTGCCTGCTCCTGAGTCTCCCTACTAGTTTGTATTTAAGTTCACATTTCCTTATTGTATAATATGTTTTTCATTCACCTGTTGCTCTTTCAAGGATCCATTCAAATATGCAGATTCATACGGCCTACGCTCAGCTGGCTAGGAAAACAAAAATATTTTACTTACTTGCTATGGGCCTGAGCCAAAGTGCTTTGAAGTCAGTATATCCCATTATATAATATATATACCAATGTAACAATTTCTCTTTCAAAAAGCCTGCAGAGGTTTATCAGCCATGTGGTATTTCTTCTTCTGGATCGGGGTGGCCAACCCGAGCCTGAGAAGGAGCCAGAATTTACCAATGTGCATTGCCAAAGAGCCACAGTAACACATCAGCAGCCCCCCCGTTAGCTCCCCCCTCTGCCCCCAGTGTCTCCCACCCACCAGCAGCACCGCTGATCAGCACCTAACCCTCCAATCCTGCGCCTCCCGCCCGCTGCGATCAGCTGTTTTGTGGTGTGCAGGAGGCTCGGGGGGGCAGGGTGGGGGAGGAGAAATAAGGGTGTGGCAGACTCAGGGGAAGGGTTGGGGGCCTTGGGGGAAGGAGTCAAGTGGGGCCAGGGCCTGGAGCAGAGCCAGGGGTTGAGCAATGAGCACCCTGTAGCACATTGGAAAGTTGGCGCCTGCAGCTCCAGCCCCGGAGTCAGCGCCAGTGCAAGGAGCCACATATTAATCCTGTGAAGAGCCGCATGTGGCTCCAGAGCCACAAGTTGGCCACTCCTGTTCTGGATCATGGTGATGACATTAAAAACTTGCATAAAACAGGGAATAAACCCATCTACAGGTTTAGTTTATTTTTTTTTCACCTCGGATTCTAAAACATGCTTCTCCTGTACAGTAACTCCTCACTTAACGTCGTCCCGGCTAACGTTGCTTCATTGTTACATTGCTGATCTATTAGAGAACATACTTATTTAAATTTGCGCAAATGTTTGCATATAACATTGTTTGGCCCTGGGAGCTTGGAACCAAGGTGGGCTAGCAGCCCCCCTATCAGCACCCTTCCACCCCCCTCAGCCCCTCCTGCCCGCGACCCCGTGGATCAATAACTCCCCTCCCCCCCTGCACCTCCCGCCTGCAGCAATCATCTGTTTTGCGGCATTCAGGAGGCTCTGGGGGGAGGGAGGATGAGCAAGGATGTGGCGTACTAGGCAATGTATTAGCTAAAGCAGCTCCCTGCTTCTTCAGTTCATATTTCAGCTCACCAAAAGGTAAGGCCAAAATTTTCAAGGGTGTTTTTTAATATTGTGCCTCTTAATATGGGAACCTAACTGGCTCTGTGGATATGGGGAAAGCAGTGGACGTGATATATCTTGACTTAGCAAAGCTTTTGATACGGTCTCCCACAGTATTCTTGCCAGCAAGCTAAGAAAAAGATGAATTGGATGACTATAAGGTGGGTAGAAAGCAGGCTAGATTGTTGGGCTCAACAGGTAGTGATCAACGGCTCGATGTCTAGTTGGCAGCCGGTATCAAGCAGAGTACCCAGGGGTTGGTCCTGCAGATGGTTTTGTTCAACATCTTAATTAATGAGCTGGATGATGGGATGGATTGCGCCCTCAGCAAGTTCGCAGATGACACTAAGCTGGGGGGAGAGGTAGATACCCTGGAGGGTAGGGATAGGGTCCAGAGTGACCTAGACAAATTGGAGGATTGGGCCAAAAGAAATCTGATGTGGTTTGACAAGGACAAGTGCAGAGTCCTGCACTTAGGATGAAAGAATCCCATGCACCGCTACAGGCTGTGGACCAACTGGCTAAGCAGCAGTTCTGCAGAAAAAGACCTGGGGATTACAGTGAATGAGAAGCTGGATATGAGTCAGCAGTGTGCCCTTGTTGCCAAGAAGGCTAATGGCATATTGGGCTTTATTAGTAGGAGCATTGCCAGAAGATCAAGGGAGTGATTATTCCCCTCTATTCAGCACTGATGAGGCCACATCTGGAGTATTGCATCCAGTTTTGTGCCCCCCCACTACAGAAAGGATGTGGATAAATTGGAGAGAGTCCAGCAGAGGGCAACAAAAATGATCAGGAAGCTGGGGGAACTGGGCTTCTTTAGTCTGCAGAAAAGAAGAGGGAGGACAGGATTTGATAGAAGGCTTCAACTACCTGAAGGGGGGTTCCAAAGAAGATGGAGCTCCGCTGTTCTCAGTGGTGGCAGATGACAGAACAAGGAGCAGTGGTGTCAAGTTGCAGTGCGGGAGGTCTAGGTTGGATATTAGGAAACACTATTTCACTAGGAGGGTGGTGAAGCATTGGAATGGGTTGCCTAGGGAGGTGGTGGAATCTCCATCCTTAGAGGTTTTTAAGGCCCAGCTTGACAAAGCCCTGGCTGGGATGATTTAGTTGGTATTGGTCCTGCTTTGAGCAGGGGGTTGGACTAGATGATCTCTTGAGGTCTCTTGCAACCCCAATTTTCTATGATCTTGGGGTGCCTGGGGCTGGATTTAAAAAAAACAAAACAAAATATGCATCTCCCATTTAATGGAGGTGTAGGCACTCAGCACTTCTGAAAATCAGACCATTGATGTCTTAAGTTGGGTACTGAGAAACAGAGGCACCCATGATCAGACTGATTTGGAAAATTTTGTCCGGAGGCACTTGCTCAAGATCAAAGTCTGAGGCAGAGGCAAGAACAGAGCTCAGATTTTCTTATTCCCTGTTTTGTACCTTAACTTCAAGACCATCTTCCTTCCCCTTGGAATAGTCTCTTCTCTTCCTTCTTGAGAAAATGGTGTTTTGTGGCTTTTTAATCATCAAAAGGAAACAGATTTCTGAAATCCTTGCATGTCATAAAGCCTTTTGCTGAATCCGGGCTGCAGTGATGATGGCTTAAACAGGAATAGTTCCACCATGCAAGGATGCAGTTACCCAAATAGAGAATGCCTTTGAGGGAAATGGGGGGAACCCAGGCCCACCGTCTACTCTGAGTTCCAGCCCAGGGCCCTGTGGATTGCAGCTGTCTATACTGTCTCCTGTAACAGCTGCGTGACAGCTACAACTCCCTGGGCTACTTCCCCATAGCCTCCTCCCAACACCTTCTTTATCCTCACCACAGGACCTTCCTCCTGATATCTGATAACACTTGTACTTCACAGTCCTCCAGTAGTACGCCTACTCGCTCTCAGCTTTTTGCACCTCTTACTCTTAGCTCCTCACATGCACCCCTCACTGACTGAAGTGAGGTACTTTTAAACCAGGTGCCCTGATTAGCCTGCTTGTCTTAATTGATTCTAGCAGCTTCTTAATTGGCTCCATGTGTCCTAATTAGCCTGTTTGCCTTAATTTGTTCCAGCAAGTTCCTGATTGTTCTGGAACTGCCCCTGTTACCTTACCCAGGGAAAAGGGACCTGCTTAACCTGAGGCTAATATATCTGCCTTCTATCACTCCTGTAGCCATCTGGCCCGACCTGTCACACTATCTATCCCTTTCTTAATGATTCCCAACGTTCTGTTAGCTTTTTTTGACTGCCGTTGCACATTGACTGGATGTTTTCAGAGAACTATTCACAATGACTCCAAGATCTCTTTTTTGAGTGGATAAACTAAATACATTGAGCTTTGTAAGGTTCTAACCTATAAGGCATGTTTCCCAAACCTCAGTGCATTCTTGTGCTCTTTTCTGAGTCATTTCCATTTTTTCAATATCCTTTTAGAAGAGTGGACAGTAGAACTGGACATAATATTTCGGTAATGGTCTCACTAATGCTGTGTTCAGGGTCGTTACCACCTCCTTACCCCAACTTGATATTTCCTTGCTAATGCATCCAAGAACCATGTTAGCCCTAAAAGCGTACATCTATACTGCCAAAAAAAAAAAAAAAAAAAGCCTGATGGCAGCAAGTCTTAGAGCTTAGGTCAGTTGACTTGGGCTGGTGGCATTCGCGCTACAGGACTAAAAATAGCAGTGTAGATGTTTTGGGCTTGGGCTGAAGCCCTGGCTCTGAGACCTGGCAAGGGAGGAAGGTCTCAGAGCCTTGTCTCCAGCCTGAGTGGGAAAGTATACACTGCTATTTTTAGCCCTGTAATGTGGGACCATGAGCCCAAGTCTGTTCACCCGGGCTCTGGCACTCACTGCTGCAGGTCATTTTTTGTAGTGTAGACATACCCTTAGGTCCATCAATGGCTATTAGCCAGGCTGGGCTGGGGTGGTGTCCCTAGCCTCTGTTTACTAGAAATTGGGAATGGGCGACGGGATGGATCACTTGATAATTACCTGTTCTATTCATTCCGTCTGGGGCCCCTGGCATTGGCCACTGTTGGAAGACAGGATAAAGGGCTAGATGGACCTTTGATCTGACCCAGTATGACT